GTGTGCCTTGTGTTGCTTGCATCTTTTATATATGTGACAAACTAAGCATCGTTACTTTCGGCAGGAAACACACCCTTGTAGTGACAACGCACAGGCGTTCTGAAAGGTTTGCGCATGACCACATGCGCCACACTTGGGCTGTTGAAATAACCCCGTGCTCAGCAGTTTAGTATTGACATGCGCCTTAACACTACTTTTGCATGCCGGCCCAGAAAACGATAACAGTAAAAAACGATAACGAATTTATACAGGATGCTATCTGGGGTCTATGCCGGTATAATTTCATCTCTTCTCTTCTTGCGGTTGATTCTGAGCGCGGCAAGCCCAGTTACTGTTGATCATTTGGCGTCGAGCTTCTACTTGGCGTTTTGTGTGTTGCTTGTGCTGCCTGTGAACGGCGAGCCGATGCTGGCGCAGGCAATGGAGGTGCGCAACCTGTTTCTTCAACGTGCTCTCTCTCTCTCTCTCTCTTTCTTGTTAAATTAGAAGGCGGCTGTGCACACAACTGTATGTTCTGTGTCATTCGAAGCTCAAGGCCTGCAGTCCATGATACGCAGAGTTTTGTCTGACTCAGACAGCATTGTTCTTCACACCTTCCCTCACTTTGTTGATCTATTGTCAACACAGTGGACATATCATCAAACTGTTGTTGCAGTCATTGTTGTCCATAAACACACAGAAGGAATCAACAGATTTTTTCATGTTCTTTTCATCTATTTTCAGTTCTATTTCTGACATTGTGTCAAATCTGCGCACAAGGCTTGTTGTGCTTGCCGCATCTTCCTTTGGCATCCAGACCATTGCTCGGCTATCCGCTGATGCACTGCAGCGGAACGACTGTGAGCGGATACAGGAGCGAAACTTCCATCTCATTCATGTTCGGACTTCTTCTCCCGTATCTTCACGTGTGAACTTGTTTCTTCAAGTGACACTTGTATCGCAGTGGATATCACTTGTATCACTTCTCGTCCGGGTTGACCTCTGTGATATCCATTGCGCCATCATCATTGCTGGTGAGCTCATCTTTCCTTTTCTTGTCGGACTTCTTCTCTGCGTAGCCATAGCCCTGCTTCCTTGTTTCTTTCTTGCCGTGCTTCAGGGTGCTGACCAGATTTGGGTGACCTAAAAGGTAGCTATCCAGCTCCTGATCGAACCATGAAGTGCTTGGAATGGTCAACCCATGGCTGGCCAAGTCTTGTCGTCCTGGTTGAAGTACTTTACACCTTGAATGCCCATTTCACAGCGCCTGGTTGAAGATGACTCGGTGAAACACTTGTTCCTCCTTGCCATCAATCATTGTCATCTTCTTGACCGCACGGAAACAAGCGGCCCTTCATGCCGCCTCTTGGTCAAAAAGGGCTTATGCAACCCTCTTGGTTTCTTGGTACATTTCTCGATTTGTTCTCCAACACTCGCCTTGATGGGTGTCATCAACTTCGGAGACCAGCACCTGGAGCCTTCCTCTCTTTTCGAGGTGGCCCAAGCCCTCTCATGCTGACTTGAACAGCATGTAGCCGACCCAGGCATAGGGCAGGTAGGTGCTCTTCTTCCCGCTTCTCCTGTCCGCCGGGATCATCTTTTCCTTCTGGATGGTGGACCAGGCCACTGTCATCCTCCATGGTGTCCATTCCTCCTCGCCCCACAAGTTCGGCCCTTCGAAGTCATACTGAGCTGCATGTGCTCTCGCACTGCTATCTTCTTTCCCTTTCCATCATCAACCAGATCCAGCCATGAGTCCTGGGCCGAGGTTCTCCTCGGCGGCACGGAGATGAGCTTCTTTGCCGCTGCGGTCACAAAGCCCTTCTGGAAGTCCGGAGTGTTCAGGTAGTCCCAAACCTCCTCATCCTCAAACTCCCATATTCCCAACGTGATGCCCCGACCTCAGCAAAGAAGTTCAACCGCTCGATCCTCTCTCCACCACTCGAACGTGCTCCGGTCGCCTGTCTGTCAGGTGGCTGTTGAGCATTCTCCCTCGTCGAGGTTCCCCCAGCTTCTTCTCGTCCAGGTGGATGTCAATCAGGATCTCGTCCCACGACGTGCCAGCCCATCTCTCATCGCCCAGGTTCCCCTCGATCCTTCCATGGTCCTTCTTTCGCCTTCTGTCTGGCCCAAATGGAAGGTGGCGATCCCATAGCTGCACGCCAAGGATTTTCCCACCTCCGCTGCTTCATCCTCTGGGTCTCCTTGATGTCCCGGTCCAGGTAGATGTGGTCGTCCGGCTGGTTCCGCTTGTCCCTGTCCAGTCACCTCTCCCTCGACATTGACTTTCAGGGCTGTTCCGATGGTTTGGATTCCCACGTCTTCCGTGGTCACATGAGTCTGTTTTGTGCTGTCACGACCCACTCTGAGATTCTCTCTGCCGGATTCCTCTTGCCCAGTTCCTGCCTCTGGTAGGTCGTCCTCCTCCGCCCATATGGGTAAGCAGCCTGTTGCGAAGCCGCGATCACCAGGCTGTGTCTCACTCAGTTCTAACACACAGTTGACTTCCACCTCCATGACTGCATGATCTTCTCCACCACCAGCTGACCAATTCGATCCCCTAGACCTCTGGATCATCAACCACCCCTGCACCGGTCGCTTGATCGTGGTGCCACTCGTCCGTAGGTCCCTGGAGTGCGGTCCCGTGCTGTGCGAGTTCGAACTAGGACACTTTCACTCGTGGAATGTGGAGCCCTGGCGTCAGGGCTCAGGAACTTCACCTTCCATCTCCTCACTCTGCCTGACCCAACCCTGAACACCAAGGCCAGTGATCGCCACCGCCGCCGTCAAGAGCAAGGCGATCCACCACTCGATGCTGGTCTCCGTCGCTCCAGTCTCCGTCGCTCCAGCCCCACTAATCAGACTCGCTGCCGCCGCTCAGGTCCCCCTGGCTCGGCACCGGTTCGATTCTTGATCTCGATCACCTCACCTCTCGATGCTCCAAGACCCAGTAAGCTTTTGTCATGAGCAAGAAGCTGGCCTTGAAGCTGTTTGGTGAACAGGTCTGCCATCATGTCCTTCCCTGGGAGATGTTCCAGCTGGATCTCTCCGCCTCTCACCGCCACCATAGCCCGGATCCTCAAGTGCCCTCCTCCTCCTCCTCCGGTGGCTTGACCTGGCCCAAGATGTACTTCACCTTCTCCGGCAGCGGGTAACTTTCCAAGAGATTCTCCAGATACGCCTGTTGGTGAATCCTGTACGCACCCTTCTTCTTTTCGATCTCCATCACTCGGAATCTCACCACGGACTGGCATTTTTGACCCACCCTTCTTGACCCAGCTCCCACACCTTCTTGAGCTGGGCCATGAAACAGTGCAAAATGTTGGTATCCCCAACGGCCAACATGTCGTCCACGTAGGTGATGAACATGCGCTTGACCTCCTTTGTGATGTCATCCTGGGTGGATTGGTCAAGCCTCACAATCTTCCACAGATCAGCTGAGTTCTCTTCACCTGGTGCTGGATGCCGTCCTCTTCCCAGCTCATCCCATCCAACACGGTGGGTGGTCCAGTCCTTCAGGCTGGTGGTCAGTCCGTAAAGTGCACGTCGTACTTGCCAGACTTCACATTCTTTCTTGAGGATGTTGACATCCTGAAAGATCTTGGGTGGTGTAACCAACACCAACGACTTCTCTTCAATCTTTGGTGCGTTCAAGAAGGCGGTCTTGATGTCGGCGGTCACTGCTTCCCATCCAACCTGGGACATGTGCTGAAGGATAGCCGAGCTTCCACAGCTGATGCCCCGCCAGCATGGGTGTCCTCTTGGGACTGCTGCGTCATGTGGCTACCACATGCCACCGCCCGGCACTTGTGCTTCCCAACTGGCGCCTTCCTCAAAAGCAGCGCCTTGGCAGGCACCCACTCGACTTGGACCCCCTTTTCAATCGCCTCCTTCTTCAAGTCCTCTGCCTCCGACAAGGTCAGCGCTTCAAGCGCAGGTGTGATCTCTGTTAGGGCCGAGTACTCCCTTTCATGCTCGGGATCCACTCCTGCTGGTTTCTCCTCACCTCAGCCAAGCTGTATGGGTGTGTTTGGAGAAAGATGCCCCGTGACTCTGCTCCACCTTCCAAGATCAACCGCTGTTCCTTCTGGATTTCACGGTCGCTTGTGGTGGTCTCCTCTGTGAGGTCCTCGAGCTCCCCAATCAATGCCCTGAGGAACCTTCCATTCACAACTTCTGCATCCCCATCCTCCTCAATGAGCTCAAGCTCCCCCCACTCTTCACTTGAGGTGCTCCTTCCAGGAACTTGAAGGGCGTGGAGTCGTCGTCGAGTTCGACCCCGCCGCTTTCGTGTTTGAGACTGTTCTTCACGATCATCTTCTTCATGAAGGTCCCCAAACTCCACTGCAGGTAGCTCAACATCTCCAGGTGGATCATCCGGAGCCACAATTGTCACCAGTGTGGACACACTTCCCACTCTCTAGCTCCCTCACATTGTAGCCTGGTGTCGTCAAGCTCATGGTCACTGCTGGACAGAGGACATCCACTTCAGTTCTTGTGACGGCAGACTTAACCAGAGTCATCTCAGACCCAGCATCCAGAGCCATGTGGAGAGAAGCCAGACAAAAGGAGACAAAAGGCCAGAAATATTCTTGGCCCAACATATGCAAGAATTGAGAACCTCTCACAGCCAAGCTGTTTGGGAACAAGTTAGGTACCGACGTGGCAGGACCTGAATTGCTTCGTCTCACGGACTTGATGCGTTCCATGTCCAGGCGATAGTGCGGTTGACGGAGACATGAAGACCGTGCGCAAGTTCCGGAGAGCCTGAGGCAAGTTCAGGCGCTACGATTGGCGCAGCTCTAGAGGCCAGACAATGCCAGCATTTAGCACTTAGCAGTTCGAACTGTTTAAGCGCAAAATGGAGCAGTAGATTGTATGAGGCGAATTGCACGTATGGATTGCTGTATGTAGGCGAATTGCACGTATTTACTGCTGGAGTCACTGTTTGAGGCGAATTGCACGCTTGAAGCGTTTTTTGCTCAATTAGTTTGACCTTGTTTGTTTGTTTCTGTCAACTCATGGCATCTGTGGAGGAGGCCAGTGCGGATCGTAAGGAGCGAACCAAAAAATTGCCGCAAGAGATCAAGCAGGCCCATGAGGAGCTGGAAAAACTTGCTGAGAAGCAGCAAATAGAACCATATCATGACACATTGCGCATTGAGAAACTTGACAAAGAATTTGATGTCTTCAAGTGGAAGAGCAGGGCCAATGTGGAGGATAAAGCAGCGGCCACAGAGATTGACCCAAATGCCCAACAGTATTTCTACAGGGCCTGCACTATGGAGGAGGCTCACCTGTGGCTTGACAGCAGGTCGCAGGAAGATGCGATTGCCAAAGAGGGTCAGCCATGGGCTAGCTACGCGGATTATTCAGAGAAGTACCTGGATGGAGTGGATCGGAATATTCTTCTCGAGGTGCACGCACCTGGATGGGTTGCAGTACAACAGTCCATTGGCATTGAATATGGAAAGTCTGAAGGAGGCGACGACCATTCTTGGTTCACAGGGCTCACCAAAACCGCTGGCCACTCAGGAGCAAAGGATGAGAATGAGGCACTGAAGGACGTCTGGCTCCAGCATGATCAACGGGTGAAGAAGTTGTGCGAGAAATACGAACTGAACAGTGACCCCAAAAGCTTGAACTTGAAGGATCAAGCCGGCTTGTTGAGGGGCATTCTTTTCGTAGATCTGATACGAAGTGTCCGAATTGTCCGCATGAAGCTCCACACATGGAAGTTCATCCAGAAACTGGAGAGCTGACTAACCAAAGTCTTCTAGCCAATTTTACTCCAATGCCTGAGACCAGGTGCTCTCGATGAGCTGGGAAGATAGTCGCTGCCAAGGCAAATCAAAAGCTTTCTGCAATGGCAGTGGTGACAAAGACCTTTGTCGCATGTACGTGGCACTTGTATCAATTGAAGCAAGCACAGGAGTCTTTCTTGGTTCCTTGTTTGGACCAACATTTGCTTTCATTTTACTCTGTTTGGGCTGCTTTGCAAGTTTTTCGTGGGTGTAAGGCAGACCGCGGCGGGTTATTTGACATGCAGACTTGTCCTGTTTCTGACCAGACAAATCCTGGCTGCTTTGCAGATCTTCCAGCAGTTTGCTTGGTAGGCGCACATCAATGGATGAATGGATGAATGAGTTTTTCTCTATATACGCAGTTGGGCCGCTACATCTTCCTTTTCAGGCACTTGCGACACTGGTAACACATAGATGTCCATCAAGGTTTGTTGCTACATCTCAAGCATGGTCTTTCCAAGTTGGATGGAACCCATTTGCAGCCCGAGCATCCTGCAGGCCCTCAGTTCTTTGTGGCAACTCAATTTAGAAGTTTATGGAGGGAGATGAGCGACAAATGCTATTGCCAGGCAATGCGTTTTTTTTCTTTTTTTTGCAAGGCAATGACATGACTGACATTTCGTTTCGCAACTTTTGCACTATTGTTGTTTTTGGGCGGTGATGCCTCTTGTTAACAAGTCGCCAAGCATGTCTTGTTTGAATCTTTGGTCCTGGTGATGGGTTTGCACGAAGAATGCCCGAAGGAGGCACAACAAAATGAGGTACGAAACAGCCCATGAAGTAGCAGGCCGAACGCAGCAGACTGAACACAACAAAACATATTTTGCTGTTTGCCCAGCCATCGAATATCATGACCCCGCGTTTGCTGGCTGTGTCTCGTGTATCGATGAAGCTGAGCACCAGGAAGCTCTGCAAGTGCGTTGCTGCGTCCCGATCTCCTTTAAAGAAATCACATCACAAAATCACTTGGCTCCACATTGTCAGTCGTTAGCCTCCAATATCCTCCTATCAAGGTGATTTTATTTCGATCTTTTTGATGTGGAGAGGTGGGTTTGCAATGTATTTTAGCAGGGTCACCATGTTGATCAGAACATCATGTGATTATATGAGCATGTTCCCCTTGGAAGGTTATGTGGTGGGCCTCTGGAAGTAACACAACGAACAGTACAACTGTCGCTCTTTACACCAATCTCAAATACAGTAACCAGACGGGCCAGATGGCTCTTTGACCACTACTATAGTTCAATTTTGTGGCCAACTGGGACTTTTGCAGTTCTTGCGGATACACGGATATCATGAAAGTGAGCCGATTCCAGGCGAGAGTTATTTAGCGAACGAAGTGAGGAGAGAGAGAGAGAGAGAGAGAGACAGAAAGACAGATAAGCTCAAGGCTAGTTGGGCCAATGGGTGGATGGGTAGATCAGGAGAGAGTGTCAGAGAGATGGTGAGACAGAGATATTCGCTGAAGAGATGGAGATATAGAGGCATAGGGAGATAGAGAGGATGTAACAAGAAGATTAGGTAGATGTGGATAAATGGATGTGTAAGTTATAGATAGGTCAATCGAGGGCTAGTTACTAGTTGGACGGATCGCGAATGTTAGATGGATAGAAGGGGAGAGAGTGTGAGAGAGATAGCCAGATTGAGAGATGGAAAGCTAGAAAACATATGGAAGCTACCCCTAGGCATGCCTTTTTTTGGTTGTTGAGGGCCTGCGGCCTGCTAACCAAAAAAGGGGCGCTTGTCAAAGCGAGATCGAAAAATGGAGAACTAGAGTGGACATAAACATGTTATCCCTTCTCACTTTGTTCCTGGTCGCCCATTGTGTGCGTGAAATATGAGCTGAAGAGGCACTAGATCGAGACCCGTGAAATACGATCAACGGCAACTCATGGCCGGCGTGGGCTTCACATCACTGCAGTAAACATGGTCTGGGCATGGGACCTGAGCCTAACAGGATTGAAGAAACTGCCGCAAAACGCGGGCAACTCTCGGCCAACTTGAGCCGGCAGATTTGGCCTAGAGTTTGCAGAATGCTGGCCGTCATTGGGCTACATGTCCTCTCAATGGAGTGCATCAATGCGCAGGTTCAGACTTTGCCTAGGTTCGAGACCTTCATCGCCACGACGAAGCATTTGGAGACGATCCAACTTGAGAAAAAAAGAACATTATAAGTGTTGCTGGATGAATAAGCTAGCCAGAATAGCAAGAATAACTAATAGTTTTCTATTGCAACTACAGTAATAGCAGCTGGATTCGCCATGATCAACTCACGAAGCTGTACGGACACAAACGAAGCTTTGAAGGCACCGGCACCGTCTAGTGTGGCACCTGGTCTGGTGTGGCACATTGCATTCCACATCCACTGGAGCCCATGGCAAGCAAGGAACATATTTTTAGTGACAGAATGAGCACGCGGCCGAGCATCCAATCTCAACGTTTCTGTGTGTATATATGTTGGTGCACACCGCTCGTCGACTGGATAGTCACTTGATTGAAGAACCAGTATCAGCAAGCATGTACATCCAGCAGTCAGCACAGCTGGGTTGCCTCTATATTTTTTATTGCAAGGGGCTTCAACTTGGGCCGTGTGCTGTTTTGCGATTTCTACACTATCGACAGCCATACAGCCAATGAGTATGAGCAACAAAAAGCGGATGCAACTTCGCTGTTTGATGGTTTTTGTGTGCCTTGGAGCACCTTTCCTAGGATTGGCTTGACTCCCCAAAAGTGTCAGCGTCGTTGTCCTGGTGTGTGGCACTGCATGGATTTCACGTACATCAGTAAGACTGATTTCTTTTTCCGAACCAAAACAAACATGTTCTCAACACGGATTCATTTCGTTTGCTCACTCTTTAGGCCATTTGTGTCTCAGCTTTATCCAGTCTCCGTGTGGGGTCTCGCTGTGTCGTGGATAGTCGGTGTTTGAGTGCTTTTCTGAGCTGTGCGTTGGCGTGTGTCGATGGTGCCGCCATGTCTACATCTCGGTGTGCCACATCGCCTCAGTGCTTTGTTGTGCTGTGTCTCACATCATCAAGACACCATCGTGACATGTCCCGGCAGATGACAAGGAACAATCATGAGATTGGCCGGCACAAAAGGGTAGTGAAGGAGATGTGAGATGTGAGAGGAACACCAAAAACTTCATGAGATGAAGAGGCAAGAAAGCAAATCAGGACTGCTTCAATTCCCACATGGATGTTGCGATTGCCAGAACTGCCGACAGGGTTTGCTTGTGCCCTTGTCCTTGGCATTGTTATTGTTCTCGTGTTTGTTAGCTGTAGCGACTAATGGCCTTAGAAGGCCCAAAAGACGTTTGGCACTTTTGGACACAACCAGACTCACTTCATGAACTTACATGGTGAACTTAAAGACAGAGTGAATGTGAGGGGTCAGTGCATCTCATTTGAGCAGGTTTGCTGTTTGTGGTTCTCAGCCTTTGGTGACTCTAAGTCTATGCCGAAGGGAGGCGAGAGGCTCAGGAATTTCTGCGTTTTGCAACTAAGGGTCTGACTGATCCTGCAACATGACTTGACTGGAGAGCAAACAAGTTTCTTTATCATCCACGATGGGCATTCCGTTACATCCAGTACCAAGTCCAGCCAGCACCTTGGACCATTGACTGTTGACTTGTTTGAGCCAGTGCTTGAAATTTGAAACCACAGACGCGGACAGAGCCAGTTGGCTTGCCACAAGTGGGCCAAGAGCTCGGGTAGATGCAGGTCTGAAGCTGTAGAAGGTGGCTGAGATGTCCGCTGATACCTGGCTTCGACCTCAAAGAGCTCTTTCCAAACATGGTGTGTGATGTGAATTGCAACATCGAGCTGGAGAGTTGCTACAGCAAGATCGATACACTAAGAAAACGCTTGCTCATAACTCATAATCAGAAAATATTTGGAAAGAAACACCAGCAAGTTTTTGAAATAACCCATGCCTGGCAAATTGGATTCGTTGCTTGCCAACTCGTTTTCTTTTATGGCTGAGACCCACTTTGGGGCCTGGAAATAATCCAGGATATCTGCTTTGCACAAGGATGCATCAAAGACCAATGTTTTGTTTTTCGGCTCATGTTGGAAGACGGCATGAAGACCCTGTCAAACCGGAGGCATTTGACTGAAGTCGCTCTAAGAGAGAGCCTATTGAGTAAGTCTTGCCCAGCTGAAGCGAGCTCCCACGAGTGCAGGTTGTCTCCGTAAGATCATTAAGATGACTTGTGTTTTGCAGAGGCCAGTCTGACATGCCATCCACAAGTTGCCCTGTTCTCAGTTCTCAACTTTATAAAGAGCTACCGATCTGCTATGGGAAGATCCCAGTTATGGTTTGGGCTTTGATCTTCGATGGCTTCAAGCTTTTGGGCAAGGTTTGACATTCCGTGCGGACGCAGTGAGCAGCCACCAGGTGGAGGCGCTTGTTGCGTGTGTTAAGCTTTGTTGCCAGTTTGAATGTGAGAGTTCCCTGCTTGACAAGGACAATTTGATTGAGCCTGGCAACCACCTGCAACAATCCGGCTAAGGCTGCTGCTTCGTTCAGTACTCAATGAGCCTGACCAGTAAGGTGTTTGCTATTTGTCCTCTATGTGCCCCGAAGCTTTGGCTCCTTGCACTCCCTCTGGCCCATTTGTGCTGATGCCGTTGTTGACAGCAGATGAGGCAACCACAACGTTTGGTTTCACCAGAGACTTTGGTCTCAAACACATTCTAAATGATTTGTCCAGTGAGATGCCGATGATGGACGGTGTGGCAATGTACCAGACATCGTTACCATTGAGGCGAAAGCAGAATGGGGAGTTGGTCAGAGTGGAGAACAATCCTGGGATTGGGTTGCTGGAAGCGGCTTACCGACAGGCTCTCAGCCGCTTCAACTCCGGAAAGAAGAAGGCACAGGTCACCCACATCCTTGAAGGAACCCCGGGGGAGCCGCCCACCCTTGTGAACAGTGGCCGGCATGACGCGCACTAT